TACATCATCATCAGTAAAGACACCACCGCTAAAGACGTGGTTTCACATGTGGTGAGTGAGTTCGGTCTGATCGCCGCCGCTGAGACCTACTCTCTGTGTGAGGTGTCCGTCAGTCCGGAAGGAGTCATCAAACAGCGCAGACTGCCGGACCAGCTGTCTAAACTAGCGGACCGCATACAGCTCAACGGCAGGTCAGCACACACACACACACACACCCTTACTGCAACCATACAGGAGAAACACCACACTCTTACATTCACACACGCGCACACACACACACACACTAATACAAATACACCAAACACATATTAATACAAGACATACATTTCACACACACTCACACACACATATAAACACACACATTATTGCATGAGACATGCCACACACACACACTCACTCACACAAACATTAATACAAGATACACAACACACTTATATTATTTACTTTTTCTATACTGTTTATGTATCTGTGTGCAAACGTGTGTGTGTGTGTGTGTCTGTGTGTGCGCGCTCAGGTACTACCTGAAGAACAACATGGAGACGGAGACGCTGTGTTCAGACGAGGACGCTCAGGATCTGCTGCGGGAGAGTCAGATCAGCCTGCTGCAGCTCAGCACAGTAGAAGTGGCAGCTCAGCTCTCCATGCGGGACTTCAGCCTGTTCCGGAACATCGAGTCCACCGAGTACGTGGACGACCTGTTCAAGCTGGACCCCGGCGGAGGTGGCGGCGCTGGGCATCTGAAGCAGTTCGAGGAGATCATCAACCAGGAGACCTTCTGGGTGTCCACCGAGATCCTGCGAGAACCCAACGCCATCAAACGCATGAAAACCATCAAGCACTTCATCAAGATCGCACTGCACTGCCGCGAGTGCAAGAACTTCAACTCCATGTTCGCCATCATCAGGTGATCTTACAGGTTTACTCCCGCTGTGTGCTTCTGACTGAAAATTCTGATATACCAAAAATAAAGTAATACCAATAACTATAGATCTGGAGGTTGATAGCCGATATATACCAATAACTATAGATCTGGAGGTTAATAGCTGATATATACCGATAACTCTATAGATCTCGAGGTTGACAGCCGATATCTACCAATAACTCTATAGATCTGGAGGATGATAGCCGATATATGCCAATAACTCTATACAACCAGAGGCCCATAGTGGATATATACCGATAACTCTATAGATGTGGAGGCTTATTTCAGATATATACCGATAACTCTAGAGATCTGGAGACCGATAGCAGATATATACTGATAACTGTATAGATGTGGAGGCTGATAGTCGATATATACTTATAACTTTATAGATCTGGAGTCCGATAGCCAATATATATCAATAACTCTACAGATCTGGAGGCTGATTGCCGATATATATCAATAACTCTACAGATCTGGAGGCTGATAGTCGATATATACCGATAACTCTACAGATCTGGAGAATGATAGCCAATATATACCGATAACAGTAACTCTATAGATATAGAGCTTTATTTTCATTTACTAACTTTAGCATACATGAGAAAGTAATGTAATCATTTTATTGTTAATTGCTTGTTCACAATATTAAATACTTTAACATCAGATAATACAACATTATAGTAAAGTGTTACCGATATTTCTACATCATCCAGAAGACTCAGTAATAATCAGTAATGCTGAGATTTTCACTCCTGATCTTCAGTGGTCTGAATCTGGCTCCAGTGGCTCGACTCCGGAGCACGTGGGAGAAACTGCCCAGCAAGTATGAGAAGCTGTTTCGTGACCTCCAGGACATCTTCGACCCGTCGCGCAACATGGCCAAATATCGCAACATCCTGAGCAGCCAGAGCGTGCAGCCTCCCATCATACCCCTGTTCCCCGTGGTCAAGAAAGACCTCACGTTTCTGCACGAAGGTCAGTCGTGTTCACATTTATCATGCATTTAATCTGCAAAATTCTCTATTACACTGCTAAAAATGCTTTTGGTTATTAGAGTTTGTCTTGTTTTTAGTCCCAAATATCTACAAAATCTGAAATCAAGAAGCATTTTCTTGACAACGAAACATATTGACTTATTTTCAGAAATAAAATACCAAAATTAAGTTAAAAAACTTTTGTAAAACAAGCAAAATAATCTGCAGTGGGCTAATCAGCCAATCAGAATCAAGCATTAAGCAGACCTATGGAATAAGAATGTGTAAAACTGTCCGCCATCTTGCTCAGGTAACGACTCGAGTGTTGACGGGCTGGTGAACTTCGAAAAGTTACGAATGATTGCTAAGGAGATCCGGCATGTGGTGCGCATGACTTCAGCCAACATGGACCCCGCGCTCATGTTCAGACAGAGGTGAGGTTTACACACACAGACACACTTGTACAGCTATTTTTATGGGGACTTCCCATAGACTGAATGATGTTTCTGCTGTACAGACTGTATATTCCCCAACACTAAACCCAATATATGTTTGTACTGAAGAGTTGAGTTCTGGTCACCGGTGTGTGAAAGCCGCTGCTGTGTATTGTGTGTGTGTGTGTGGTGGAGGTGCTTCAGTCCGTCTCAGTGTTTCTCTCTCTCTCTCTCTCCTCCTGTTGTTTTCCTCCTCCCATGGCTTTGCTTTCAGGAAGAAGCGCTGGAAGAGTTTAGGGTAAGTGTGTAGTGTGTAGAGTAATGCTGTCCTGCATGTTCATGAGCGTTATCCTGGACACACAGGCTCTTCCTTCGTCTCGGTCATCCTCTAATCCCCGTAACAGCACGTCTTCGTCAGAAATGTGCATTAATGGAGCTGAACTCCTGCATGGCTGCTGTAGGCCTCCTCTGCTCACACTAGCAGTGTTCATGCTCAACATTTCATACTCCGAGATATATCAGCCCTCGTTTTGCACGTTCCCGTGAAGGGGTAGGGGTGTCCCAATTCTCTTTAGCTTGAAGGCGTAGGGCTAAGGGGAAGGGGGAGACAGCCCTTCAAACTGAGATATTCTAGGACCACACTCAAAACCAAGGGGTGAGTAAATTTCCCAGAACACACCAGCCACAACAGCAGGATAGCTGCACCAGGAAGTCAGAAGATCCACAAATTAGTGTTTTTGTCATTATTATGAATTTTTACAACAAACAAAAACAAGTTTTAATATATTCCTAACGGCGTTCGTGTATATATTCTTGTATATATTCACACAATTCAATTCATAACAGTGTTCGTGTTTTACCATCATGCTTTTAAAAAAATGCTAGAATAAAAACAGCTAAATTTATAATCCATAATAACAACTCCTGTACAGCCGTCCCACAACATTCTGACACTCGATGACACTCCAATCCCCTGTCAGTAAAGTCTAGTGGCTGAGAATGAGCTGTTACAGTGTCTGCTATCATGTTCATGCTGTTTTGGTGTATTTACTGTGTAAACACACAGTACGGTTATGATCTTATTGCCTTATTAGGTCGTGATGATAACATGATATATGCCTACAGTGATTTCCTGAAGATAAATACCAAAAAAAATACACGACTGGAATCACTACAGCAATCGCCATCGTCTGATCTCATCTGAAGCAGGAGATGGCGATGACATATGATGATGTGTGCAGGTGCTGGAGTGCTGGCCCAATCCTAAAGGGTACATTTTGAAGTTCTTCCTCTTCACACTTGGTTTCAAGGGCCAAGGGGAAGGGCTACAAAAGTAGAATTGGGATTGGGCCTAAATCTCTAAAAACTCGTAAAATCAAGAAGCATTTTCTAGACTCTGCATATAGTCTTGTTTTAAGAAAATACATGCCACAATGAAGTGAGTTTTTACCTAAAACAAACAAAATAATCATCTACCAATAAGGTAAGCAGAGTAATCTTACAGTATGTCAAAAGGAAATCCAAAGATTATTTTGTTCGCTCCATTGGCAGATGACTATTTTGCTTATTTTAAGGACGAACTCACTTCAGTTTGGCATGATATTTCTGAAAACAAGACTATATGTTTTGGCTTGTCTTTAAAATGCTTTTTGATTTGGGAATTTGTAGATGTTTAGACTAGAAACAAGACAGAAACTCAAAGTAAGAGAAACATTTTTTGCATTACAGCAGCGTTTATGCTCAACATTTCACACTCGAAGATACATCAAGGACTTAGAAATAACCTTATTTCCATGATACAAGTTCAATCAACATTTTGGTATTATTAAGACTTTATTGTTGTGTCCTTGTCACTGTGTGATTGTACATTTAAAGATGTCAATTCTGCCATCATGTCCTAATCCTCCACTTATTGCAAACCTGTTTGAGTTTTGTCTTCTGTTGAACACAAAGGATCATAGACACAGGATTAATATTAGATAGACAAAACACACTGTTTGTTTTTCTAACATTGACATCAGTGACTGCATTTTCCCAGCATTCCTCAGAATATCTTGTTTTGTGTTCAGCAGAAGAAAGAAACCACATGAGTATGAGGAAATGATGAGGACGTTTTCATTGGAGTGCCGAGTACACTGCGAATAAACGCTGTTCTTACATTGAGTTTTTGTCTTGTCACTGCTCCAAATATCTAAACCTCCTTCAACTGAGATGCATTTCTAGACTAGCAATGCATAAAGTGGTGTTTTCAGAAATAATGAGTCAAAATAAAGTAATGTTTTTCTTTAAGCAAGCTAAATAATCTGCCAGTGGGGTAAACAAAACAATCTCGTTTGTTTGCTTTGATAATTATTATTTCGCTTACTCCACTAACACTCAGCCAAATTCCTTTTGCCCTCAACTAAAGATTGATAAAGATCATTTAAAAGCATTAGTCCAAGGCACTCGAAAAGTATATGAAAATGTAAAAAAATGCCTTTATCAGCATCTAAAAGACTTTTTCACTCACTTTCGAGTGCCCTGGGCTCATCATTTGAATGTTTATCTGTATGAATCCTTCCTTATTTAAAGACACACAAACACTAGTATTACCCCTGAACCGCTTTTGTTTGAGTCTCAGTTTTAAGTATACCACAGCCTTTTCTGTTCACATGTGAATTTGATCAGCTTTGTGAATGTCTCTGCATGTGTCCGTGAGCCTCCGCCGTGTCGTCTTGTGTTGTCGTGTTGTCTCTCAGCGGCTTCTCTTGTCCTCTGCAGGTCTCTCAGTCAGGGCAGCACCAACTCAAACCTGCTGGACGTTCAGGGGAATCATAAGAAGCGTGTGCGCCGCAGCTCGCTGCTCAACGCCAAGAAGCTGTATGAGGATGCACAGATGGCCCGCAAGGTGAAGCAGTACCTGGCACACCTGGAGGTGGAGACGGACGAGGAGAAGTTCCAGATCATGTCTCTGCAGTGCGAAGCCGCCTACAGCACACGTGTGTATTCACTCCACATGCTTCCTGTACATGTCAACACACTCCACCTGCCGGACACACACACACACACACTTCTGCTCTAGTGTAAGACGAGTGTTAGATTCTGTCTTATGCGAGTGTTCACATTTTTACATGTTACACTTAAATGTAATATTAACTTTTTACTACTAACTGGAAATTTATTGGATAATAATATAATATTATATAATTTAATTTAATATAATATAATATAGTATAATATAATATAATATAATATAATAAAGTATAATATAATATAATACATATAAGATAATATAATGTAATGTAATATAATATAATATAATATAATATAATATAATATAATATAATATAATATAATTATTATAATATAATATAATATAATATAATATAATATAATAAATATAATACAATACAATATAATA